TATTATTTTTTCTGTTGTATAAATAATAATAAAACTATTGTACGTTTCAATATTGTTTAAAGTTCAATTTATAAAATATTTATATTGATTTATAAACTAAAATTAAATAATCATATAATTCAATATAATATATGAAGTATATCATATGAGATATTAATTTCCATATTCCATATTAACTTAAAGTAAATTAATATAAATTATATAAAATAATATTGCTATTTTTTAACATCACTTGCTCATAAATATTATTACTACCGTATTTGTCTATTATAATTTTATCAATTATATTGAAATCAATGCTATTAAACAAATACCTGTATAAATATCAATTGAACTTTAAAATATTCATTAATCTTACCAACATACCATTTGTAAGTAGAAATAACAACACAATATTGTAAAAACAATTAAGTTTTGACATTTCGTTTAAATTAGATATATAACATTTAATAAATCTATTTTCTTAGACAAACAAATGTCAAAATAGTATCAATAATAGTCTTACGTAAAAATAGATTAATAATTATAGTATTAATAATAAAACAAAATAATGATTTTCTTATGAAATAAAAATTTCCCAACTAAAGGAAAACAAACTTGTTACTCAATAATAGAAATAAAAAATTCAAATATGATAATATAGTGTAGAGTATACCTTTTATAAAATAATCATTAAATGTCATAGACTAATTGAACTTTTCTAAATGTTTACTTTAAAACAATTGAGTTGTATAATGCAAGTTTTATTCACGAGCTTTGAATGTAATAAAAAATTAATTAATTAAAGTGTGAAAAGGCGTCAAAAATCAGAATTAGTTTTTCAATAAATAGTCCACTTGAATTAGTATTCATTCATATGATATATGTGTTGAAACATTGAATTCATTGAATGAATATTGAGTTTGTGATTAGTTTTGTGTCTGTAATAGAGGCGAGTGTTTGTAGAGTAGTCTCAAAATATTTTGGATGATTTAACAGTTTAGAGTCAAAGCAAACACTTGTGTATAATATATAAAAGGATTGAATTTATTTATTAAACTAATTTAATGATCGTTTACTCATTAAATAATCTTTCGCTTCAATTATCTT